ACAGACGGGAACGGGTTTGCTGCTGATCGGAGAATGTTCCCACCTATCCCGTATTCACGTGTGAACGTCGCAGACGTGTATAGTTGGAGTATTTATGTCACCCCGACGATTCATCGAACCACCCGCCTTTGTGCCCTTCGCTCCTCATTTCTATTTTAGATAAGATCAAATCAGACGAGCGACAGATAATCCACTCAATTTGCTCCTCTAGGTAATAATGGCCATTCGTGTGGCGGTTAGTGCGATTGCCCTAAAAATCACGACACACCGATTGTCATAGACCCATAGCGATCCTATATAAGCCTAGCCAACACATGCCTTCATGTAGTGGCGTGTATGTTAGTCAGTAGATGCGATGCTTGCCTGCCCACCGAAACATCTCTGTGCATTTTTATGGGGAAAGCTATGTCGGCGCGTAGGATCGGCCGACTGCGATAGCGGTAAGTGGTTTTTCTCGGACGAGGAATTCGTTTGTCACGCCCGCGAGTCGCTCCCGATGACGGCTCCTTTGTATTGCAGTGATGAGCGTATTTTTACTCAGCTCGCTTGGCACTTACCCGACCTTGCGCGGGCCCGTATTTTCTACGTATAGGCGGACGGAATATCAACCTTCGTATAAGCTACGAGCAGAATCGATTGTGATTAGATAGGAAAGAATCGTAGATGTTTATGACGATTACTATAAGTAGGGGCGAATAATGACAAATTATTCACTTATATAACTGCGCCTCTGCTACAAGCAAGTATAGCGGATGCTGCTCGACATGATGCGCAGTGATCAGATGCTGAATCGATAGATCGCGAGATTAGCTTGCTGTGTATAATTGCCAATCGCATTCTCGCAAGATCAGAGAGGATTCCAATCGCAGTAACAGCGCGATAATTTGCGCACAATATACGGAAATGCGTTTGATCACGCGCGAGATTGATTGGTCGCGGAAGAAGAATGTAAATAAATTAGCATTCCCTGGTCGAGTTCGCGTTCAAGATCCCTGCAACAGCAGCAAGATGGGTGCGTAAAAAACGATAGACAGCATTGCGAAAAATCTACGCAAAAATGTCTGCCTTGATTAGCGGGGCATCTGCGTTGGCTTTCGCACTGCGGTGCTGCTAGAGTTGGCAATTATAGTACGAGGCCAACTCTATAATGCATATCGTGTAGTGCACTCCTGTTCGACACATGTACGCAGCAGTCTACACGCGCACGCGTCTCTCGTCTGCTCTGCACACCACTATCACATAATACACACGCGAAATTGGGATTTGCTTCTGGGGATACACTAGCTATAGTCGGTAACGTTACTGCACTTCATCTGTCGTCAGCTCTTGTGTTTGAGAGTTGTCACGTAACGTTGGCAGCCATTGTTTCACAGCTGACCGCCTCGAGGGCACATGCAGCCACGCTGCTCGTGTCGGCCGCTATGTTCGCGTCGGTCGCCCTGCTATGGGTCTAAGGGGACCGCCATATGACATTCGCAACGTTACCTAATATAGTTAGCGACGCCGTCTATATTCGGTACCCTTGTGTGTGTGTGTGTGTGTGTGTGTGTGTGTGTGTGTGTGTGTGTGTGTGTGTGTCGTCGTGTCGTGCGTGCGTGCGTGCGTGTCGTGTGTGTGTGTGTGTGCGTGTCGTGTGTGTGTGTGTGTGTGTGTGTGTGTGTGT